GAGTTTATCACTATCCCAGAAGATCCAACATTTGTTAAATTGACTTGAAAATCCATGATTGAAGCCAAGCTTGAGTTTGTAAAAGTCCAGTTTTTTTTCCTCCACAATAGGTTCAAAGACAGCTAGGAAAATGAAATTATAGCATTTCTTGAGAAGTATAAGTCTATTGAGGGAAGACTTGATACCACAAACATTCCAAAAAAGAGCATTCATTGGGAAACTAAGTGATTTGAGCTCTTATTGGCTGATCTAAGCCTGGATTTAATTGAGGTATTGAGCTGGATCTCTTTAACTTTTTCTGTAATTGGTGGGAGGCTTTTGGAATTGCATGGATAATCATACATAATTCCCAGGTCTTCATAATCTGATTCATCACTTTCATTTTCTTCTTCAAGTTGCAGGAGTGGTGAGAATTTAGATTCAGCTATAGGCAGTGGTTTCCACAAAACCAATGACATATTATTACCTTCACTGTCTGGAACAACTTCTGGGCCTTGAGGAGGTGTAGGGTCTAAAAGAGCAGAAGTGGGAGCTGAAGTTGGAGGGGCTGGACATTGTACTACTGGCACTGGGGTCTCCTTGTCCTTGTCCTTGTCCTGTAGTTGTTGTGCCTCACATGAATTGGAACATTCCCCAGGACCAGAAGAGGGACCCAGTTTTCTTTTCCAAACAGCTTCAGACCCACCTCTTTTGGAGGTAATAACAGTCCACTTTTCTCCAATTATCTCTTTGCCCTTGTTTTCTCTGATTTGGACTGGTTGTTTGAGTTCCCTCTCTTGATTCCTACAGTGACCTTTCAAGTGACCCAGTTTTGAACATGAAGAACAATAATGTGGAATATTTTCATACACCAGTTGGAGAAATAAGTCTTTCCCTCCCAGGTTGATATGAATCTTAGAAGGGGGTGGCTTGGAGACATCAATTTCCACACAAAAACGAGCCAGTTCTGGTCTAGAGAACCTGAGGGTGCTTTCATCCACTTTAAGTGGCCTTCCTAAAGCAGAAGCTAATATAGAAAGGGCTCTCTGATCATGAAGAAAGATGGGAAGTTTAGGGCAGCTAACCCAAACTTGAACCACAGGACAATCAATCCCTTCTGTGTGATCAGTAGTCCATTTGGTAACCACCATAAGTTGATTACCTACTGACCAAGTTTGTCTAAGAAACACCCTTTGATAATCTTCTTCATACTGAAAATTAATAAGAACCTGATTAAAGGATAGTGTTCCAATTGAAAATTCCCCCTGCAGACCAAGCTTCTGCAAGAAGTTCTTCAAGATTGCATAAGCTGGCCTTCGAGCAAATGTACCAATCAGAGCATTGGTGAATCTCCTGGAAAGCTTCTGAATATCTTCAGGTGTGAAGGATACTGAAGGACAGCCCTTGAAATCACCTTGAACCGAACCTTGTAATTTATCTTCTTCAGAAATTGTGTTAAGAACTTCTGAGAAAAGCTTTTTCCGGCCATGAATTCCGGCAGTAGTGCCTGAGGATTTTTCTCTCTAAAAGCATTTATATATATATATATATATATATATATATATATATATATATATATATAGAATGAGATGGGTTTAGATAGGGAATCTTTGAGACGCTACTTCCGCCGTAAGTACGATCCCTGGCGACCGTTCACCCCTAGAAGCAATCGACGGCGATATACTGACCGAAGAGATGGATCTGAGAATCTTCAGGTTTGGGAAAGAAGGAGGGATCATCGAAGCTATCCAGATTACTGGCATAATTCAAGGAACCGACGAGGGTATGATCTCCACATCCCAGGGATTCAACACAAAAGTCTCAATCAATCTCACTCCTTCCGAATTCAAACCAAGGTTTTTAATCTCTTTCACTCTAATTTTAACAAGAACTTCTGTATTAGTGAAATTGGAAAGAGGAATTACGATATATGGTTTGACATCGATGGATTAATTTGAATTCTTGAGCTATTCCCCAAACTAATTCCGAGAAAATCCTGGGCTATAACCCGATTTGAAAAGCATCGGAAAATCACCATTTCTTTTGGATTTAATTAGCTAGGGTAATTATATTCGGATACTTGAATCGAGAAGAGAGGGGAACACCTCGCTCTTTGTTCCTGCGGATAGAGGGGGTATGGTCTTTTTTTTTGATGCCATTGAAGAGTTCATTGGTTCTAGAACAGAAGGAAATGTTGCTACTGCTTCAGGGAATGATAAGTTAGGAAGAGAAGTAGAGGACGTAGGTATTGTTAATCCTCTGCAGCTTGAAGAATTCCCAAGAGTAGAACAAGCTAAAAGGAACTCTTCACTGGAGCCACTGAGCCGGGAAGAGCAATGTTTAATTGACGGGCTGTTTAACCAAAATTTGAAGGTGCAAGCATCAAGTTTGGGGGACCCTATGCAATCAGAGCTGGACCTCATGATAATTGATGATAAGGTAGAAGAACACGCAGGAGGAGACCTTCAAAAACAGTATGAGATGCTAAAGCCGATTTTCGAACAACACATTAGCGATGACTTTGAGAATTCTCTAAAGCCCTTGTTGGAACCTTCTTTTTTCACCGACCAAGTCTGGACTTCATTCGAACCACTTTGGAAAGAACGGGATTCATTGGCTTTTCTGTTACTCTCATAGACTCCACACACATTCTCTTAAACTTCTCCAGCGATGATGATTTCCATCGCTGTTTTAAGCGAAGGGAATGGTCCCTGGGAGCTTACAAAATGCTCATCTCGAAATGGACTCCCAATTTTGATCCCAATGTTGAATTACCTATCATGCCCATTTGGATTTCTATCAAAAACCTACCTATTCACTTCCATGCCAAAGAATCATTGATGCAAATTGCCAGAATCTTTGGTAATCCAATCAAACTTGATAGCACCACTGAAAACTTTGGCAGACCTTCAATTGCAAGAATCTGTGTTGAAGTGGATATCTCACAGCCTCAAACCAACAAATTCTTCATTCTCAATGGAGAACAACCAGTGCTTTTAGAAGCGTTCTATGAAGAAGTTCCTCTTTTCTGTCCAGAATGCAAAGGGATCTCCAGGCATAAGGAATCCTGTACACACTTCAAACATGCTGATTCCCAAACCAAAA